CCACATGCCACAGGCCTCTACTCTTCAGAGACTTCGAGGTGTGCGTGAAGATGTTCACAACAGCACTGTTTACAACAGCAGAGAAATGGGAGTGGCCACGGTCCGTTGCTGGAAAAGGAGCCAGAGGAATTATGAACCATCCACTAGGGAACAGCACGCGGGCTTCTACAAGACGATGCTTATAAGGGAGTGTCAGATGGAAAGTACAAAACCTAAAACTGTTTGTCCAAGTGGAAGCTCAGCTCTGTAAGAATGGGCATGGTTTGCAGAGCTGAGACTCACAGGGAATTTTTAGAGAGCAGGAGAAAGTGCTGAAACGTCTACTGTGGATGGTTCGAGTAAAGGGATTATGAGTGAATTAAATTTTTTTCTTTGTGCATTGTGTAGCTAACTTTTTGCAATCACCACAAGGCGTGACCATCCCCCCTGGGGGGTGATTTCTCGCTTTCTGTCTCTATGTCTCTCTCTGTCTGTCTGGCGAGCGCACGTGCCCTATAGCAAAAAACTTCTCCGAAAAAAAAAAAAAAAAAGAATGGGCATGGTTTGCAGAGCTGAGACTCACAGGAAATTTACAGAAGTGCTGAAACGTCTACTGTGGATGGTTCGAGTAAAGGGATTATGAGTGAATTAAATTTTTTTCTTTGTGCATTGTGTAGCTAACTTTTTGCAATCACCACAAATTACGTGTCATAAACAAAAGCAGCCTGGACAGCATGAAGGGTAAAGGGTATTTTCGAGGCCAGGTGATGGCACACACTGGCTGAAAAAAAGGGACCCCACCCACCTCAATACCTGGGTATGCTCAGGGGACAGACCCAACACCAGGCCAGGAGCAGTTCTGCATTATTAGCAGGGCTAGAGACAAGCCAGGACTCCACGGGATGGTGGATGCCCACGAGTGACAAGAAGGAAAACTAGTAGCACCAGGTGCTCCCAGGAGAGCACGAACCTCAGCTTTCCGAACACACCTGCCACAGGTGAGACTCTTCTGAAGAGAACCGAGGGTGCTGGAGTTTGGGAGCCCCCAGAGACTAGGGGACAGAGGACGGCCTCCTTCAACAGCCAACCCAGCCCGGGAGTTAAGGCATAGCTCTGGGACCTGCATGCGGAAGACCAGGGCCACACCCACAGAGCAGGCTCTCCATGCACGCTTGGCAACGGCGGTAGTGGGCTCCAGCCAGCCTGACAGAGATGTTTAGGTGCATAGGAGCTAACCATCCGAGCATTGCGAGTTCTGGGAATCTCTTTGCACATCACTGTAGGGGTTGCAAAATTAGTGAAATTCCCCTTCACAAATCCGATTGCAAAACTCCACCTGTGTTCCCACATTTGAGGACTTAGTAGAAGGGAGAAAATAGCACCGAATTATTTCACAGTGGGGGAAGAGGTGCGAGCCTCCTGGTTATCAATTTGGTGCCACATGCCACAGGCCTCTACTCTTCAGAGACTTCGAGGTATGCGTGAAGATGTTCACAACAGCACTGTTTACAACAGCAGAGAAATGGGAGTGGCCACGGTCTGTTGCTGGAAAAGGAGCCAGAGGAATTATGAACCATCCACTAGGGAACAGCACGCGGGCTTCTACAAGACGATGCTTATAAGGGAGTGACAGGGAATTTTTAGAGAGCAGGAGAAAGTGCTGAAACGTCTACTGTGGATGGTTCGAGTAAAGGGATTATGAGTGAATTAAATTTTTTTCTTTGTGCATTGTGTAGCTAACTTTTTGCAATCACCACAAATTATGTGTCATAAACAAAAGCAGCCTGGACAGCATGAAGGGTAAAGGGTATTTTCGAGGTCAGGTGATGGCACACACTGGCTGAAAAAAAGGGACCCCACCCACCTCAATACCTGGGTATGCTCAGGGGACAGACCCAACACCAGGCCGGAGCAGTTCTGCATTATTAGCAGGGCTAGAGACAAGCCAGGACTCCACAGGAAGGCAGATGCCCAGGAGTGACGAAAAGGAAAACCAGTAACAGCAGCTGCTCCCAGGAGAGGACGAACCCCAGCTTTCCGAGCACACCTGCCAGCCATAGGTGAAACCCATCTGCAGAGCACTGAGGGTGCTGGAGTCTGGGAGCCTCTGCAGACCAGAAGGGACTGAGGAGGGCCTCTTCAACAGCCAATCGACCCCAGGAGTGAAGGCCTCTCTTTGGGACCTGCTTGAACGAGGCCAGGGCCAAACCCACAGAGCAGGCTCTCCGTGCACACTTGGCAACAGCGGTGGTGGGCTCCGGTTCCCACCCACATGGTCTCTGGCAGGTGAAGAGGCCAGCCATTTGCATCTGGTCTGGTCCCTGAGCACGTGCTCCGGGACAGCAGATTCTCACTCTGCCGGGCTGAGGTCGGGGTCTACCTAGGGCGTGACAGCTATGGTGTGCCGTGGGGAAATCTGGATGTGAACAGAGATCTGAGGACAGCTAGGTGGTGAGACCCGGACCCGTTCTGCAGAAGTTGTCGTCTCAGAGTGCACAGGAGGTCACTGTGAGTCACACCCAGCCCCTTCCCCAAGACCATCAGTGAGTGGAGCCTATGAGCAGAGTTCTAGCCGCAGAAAGTGACACGTGTGGAGTGAAAAGCTGCTCAGGAAAGAACGCAGACGTCAGGGGCACACAACAGGCAGAACACGCATTCCTGGTGCAGAACGTGCAGTAATCGTGCAGCTCACCTAGCGAGGGCACTGCTGGGTTCGACCAGTCCACCAAGGGGGGAGGGAAAAATGGAAATGAGATGACTTTGCAACTGCCCTTTCTCCCTTTGCTGGGGGCTGTCCCCTCAGGCTTTTCTTCCACAGGAAAAAGAAACGGATTCAAATCAGGCCTGCCCAAGCCACTCAAGCCTCTGGCACCCTGAGAAGCAAGCCATGGAATCTTCCCTCCAGCCTCAGAGGCAGAGGACATGTGGCAATTGGCAACAAATACCCAAAATGCTGCTCTGCAAACCCTGGGAAGTTTCCAGTTTTTGTACTTCTTGTTTCAAATTTGATCAAAGGGCACGTGCACTTGCCAGAGAGACAGAGAGATAGAGAGAAAGGGAGAAAGCACCCCCCAACAGGGCATGCTCACACCACAATCCCTTCTCCTGCATTTCTCTACCTCGTTGAGGTTGTGGCCACACACACACACATAACCAGAATATTTTTCAAGCCGCTGGATCGAGGATTCGCACCATGCAGCCAGTCCCGGGGG